TGGGAGGAAAACCCTAAACTAAGCTGTGGGTTTCTGCACTTTAGATTTTTTGCCAAATTTATGGCTTATGCAAATTGCGCCATAAACCCCTGTATCTGTTTTATATTCAGCGGCAATTACCGTGAAGGCCTCAAGAGTTTGTTTGGTTGTTGCTCGCGCAAATGCAATTGTTAATTCGTGGTAGCCTTTCGCCCTTTGCGTGAGTAATCATTAAAGGTGTAGAGCATGCCTTCAGATGAGCCAAGAGATGTTACACTAGCTTCTCTTGCATAAAACATTAGTAATAACATTAAGAATTTTCATTAGGTATCTGGAAAGTGTAAATCCTTGGCCCTTTGTTATAAGAAAAAAACTAAAGCTTTTCTCAACTTTGAAACTGCGCTTTTAGCAGTACCTTCTGTAAATATTTGTCGTAAATTCTTTAAGAACCGACAGCAACATTGCCAGATAATTCTCTAACCGTGGGCTCCCTATCCACATGTACCCCTTTAATTGACAGCTGCCATTTTGTGGTTTCCAATAGACTGCAGACGATGTTTGTTTTGCTTTTTTAATGAAAAATACGTCGCAGCACAAGTCGCACGCATCATTTCTTTTAAACTTGCAAAATGTAAGACGCCAAAGCTAAAATATTTCGTGTGTGTGTGTATACAAAAAAATAGGAGTAGACAATAAAGAGAGTTTCAGGTGGCTGCCCTGAAATGGGTTCAAGAGAACATCGCGAGTTTTGGCGGGATTTCCAGCCAATCAAATGCTCTCTCCGCTGTCTACTGGTGTATTTCACAAAGCCATTTTGCAAAGTGGAGCTGCAACCACACCCTACACGTTCTAGTCTTCAAAAGATCCGGATTATGGAAGAGACATCACCAAACGTCTGGGCTGCGATGACAATGCAATGTCGCTTGGCTGTTTAAGAGAGAAAAACATTGAGGATTTTCTGAAAGCTTCTGAACTACCTCGCAGTGTGGTAGACCTCGGTCATCAGTAGCCCGTGGTTACGGTTGATGGGGAATTCTTAACTGACGAACCAACTAAACTACTTAATCAGGGATTCGTCAACAAAGTGCCAGTCTTGCTTGGAGTAAACAAAAACGATGGCGGCATCGTTCCTCTTTCTGAAATAGCCAGAACTCTTGGCCAGGAAGTTTCTTCCGAGCTTTTCAGTAGTTTGGTAAAGAATGCGAGGTTTTCATCCAACGAAGAATCTGATCCCATGAAAGGGGCCATTTTGTACCAGTACACCAACCACCCGGTACCAGATTCCACTCGCAGCATCGAAAAGCAGTGGCTTGATCTTGTGACAGACTCATGGTTCAATGCCCCGGCAGTACATATGGCCAAAGCCCTCGTGAGAGGTGGTAGTCATGTGCGTCTGTACCAATTTAGCTATCGAACGGAGTTGACTCTGTACCCAGAAATCCTTGGGGTCGTTCATGGAGAGGAGATCCCTTATGTATTTTCATGGCCGTGGGCCAATCATGAAGGGACCTTGGAAATGGCGTCATCGTACAATGGTGTGGAGCGAGGCCTTTCAACGGTGATGGTAAACCTTTGGACTATATTTGCGCAGTATGGGTGAGTGTTAAGTTTTCAATATAGCGACACTCGTTCTTCAGGACAGTATTTATTAGCCTTGCTTTTCTAACGTTTCTTCTGGTGTGTTGCAAACCTCGTTCCCAGGGTCTCTCTCTTTTTCCCGCCCCTCTAGCGCTCCAGGCAGCGGAAGAAGAGAAACTCTGAGATCGAAGTTAGTTTGTTGCCAATTTTGGGTACCTAAAACGTTTACACTTTCATTAAATATTTAGCGTCAGCAAGTCTTAGAGTGTTATACGTACTGAAAGAAAGGTAAATTTTCAATTAATTTTTACCAGGCGTTGCCCAAGGCAATGCCTTCGTCATTACTTGAGTTGTGTAATAGCTTCGCACTGCTGGAAAATCACGATATACTACTCAACCTCGTCAAATAACTGCTTACTATGTTATAAAATGTATAACATTGGTTTTCTCTTTCGACAGAGATCCGGTTAAAAGCGATCCTGACATTAACTGGCCTGTCTTCTCGACCGACGGTGAAAAGTACTTAGTTATTGACCTGGACGATCCGCTTTGAGTGGAGAGCAAACTTAAGGTGGATCACGTTGTCTTTTGGGAAGAGTTTCTTCCTAGCCTGGCGAAAGAAATTCGGAAAGACGAACTGTAGTACTCAGTTGGAGGAATAGGCGGATTCAAGGTTGTAACTGTTTTGATACTTTTTAAACTCTTGGACTATTAATCTAATTGTCTATGATTTTACGGCATCCCACGTAGGTTGACGACTTAAATTAAGCGAAATAGGACTTTTTCCGTGTTTACATTGCTTAAACCGAAAACAAAAACCCGTCCACGCGACTTAAATGCAGCAAACGAGAATACTGTTTCCCTTGACAATTGCTGACTAGCCCCCACTTGGTCTGTCTCTGTTTTCCGAAGTAGAGCACTGTAGGGAAAAAAATGTCATCACTTACAGTTGCCCAATGACATCCGATTTAAGTCGAGTGCAATTTCGCCATAGCGTATAGAAGCATCCCTTGGGCCGCTCAACAATAGGCCCATTGTCTTAAAAAACTCAAACCGTAACAATAATCAAACATCTAAACACGAGAGGGGTTGGGAGAATTCGAGACAATTATGAAACCCGAGACACGGTCACGCGCTTGCACAACCTTCAAGAATTCTCCCAACCCCTCTCGTGTTTAGATGAGGCTAGGTAAACACGGAAAAAACTCCTTCATTGCTTTTATAAAATATTTCTAATCACAGCCTTGTTAACATGCAAACATCTAAAAATCTCATCTTAACACACCTATCGAGCAATGAGAACGCGCATACTATCTTATATTTTATCATGATTCGACGGAAAGAACCTTCCTAGAACCCGCCAAAAAAGAAAGGATGCCCAAAGAAAACGAATTGTCATACATATGCTTCTTCCAATCGGATAATTTTTGGTTCTTTTTAAAGACGAAGGACATCTAACAAAAGACATCAAAAGAGATCGGTTAACTTTATCACGCATTACTACTTATCGTGACAGCATCAAGTTTTAAACCTGCTGTTCTACTGTTAGGCCGCTGAATAACCATGCGCAAAAACTCAGGATATTGCCACGGGATACGAGGTCACGAAAATATGATAGATATAACAAATACCACGTGGGACGATTTTAGGAACTCGCAGCGCTGAGAGAGTCGTTTTTTACGATCATCCTCTCTAGCAGGCTCGATTACCAGCCGCTGTTCGGGAAAGGCTATTCGGAAATCGAGTATATCTCTCTAGCACCTATACAACCTATACAATCATCTCTGGTAGTCAATCTTCATTTTGAAATGGCATCTGCAATTGCAAGAACTCACTGTCTAGTTTTTACCAAAGTCTTTGCGTATCGTTTGGACATATTACCATACCGTAGCTGCTAACTGAATTAGTAATGTTATGTTAATTACAAGAAATCCCTAAGTATTAGTATCTCATTCGGTCATAAATGTAATAAATGGCTACTTAAGTTCTCTGAAAGTTAACCTTCAGATCTCACCTTTTATGCTGGCGTGTCGTGTCCCCAATTACCGAGACCGGCATCTTATCTACGGCTAAGTAATGAACTTCAAGATGTTGGTTCCGGTTTGATCCAGTTTTGCACTGGCATCTAAATTTGATAAAGATTTCTGAACATGCCCAGAAAGAGCAGCCGCTGTAATAAATGCTGGCTCATCTTCAGATTTCTCTGCGTAATGCTGAGAACCAGATTGCTTAAACTCCAAAAAATGCGGTGTTTTATTGATAATATAAAATGAACTTTTTTCGACGAGCTACCGTTTTCAGTGTAACTCCAACCAAGGCCACCTGGCAAAATTCAGTATAAATTTAACAAATGTCAACTGTAGTTTTCCGACAAATTACAGGGTTGGATCTAGGATTTTTCGGGGGGAGGGGTGAGGAAAGGTTAGCTGGTACCATAGGCTTGCAGAATCAAAGAGGCATACCCACAAAATGTTGCAATTTGATAACTGGAACCTAATTTAAAAACTGTTGCAACAGAAATACAGGAAATGTTTGCCGTTATTTCTGCTATCCTTGCATACGATTGGTGCGCCGAAACTTGACCAATGATGATTAAGCAGACGGGAAAAAACTATACTGTTATGACGTCAAATGTATGTTAACAGGAAGGGCATTGAAGTCGGACAACTTTTCTCACTGGAGGCATTAAAGAGTCATGAAAAGGGATTTGTAATCCCAAACATGATATCAGATTTTAAAAAGTGGAAAATCTGAAACATTTTATGACTCAAGTGACTCAACGCTTTTAATTTGGCGCCAGAAATGGGTCACCCGCGTCTGGCAACTCGATTGTAATTCGTGGAGTGTTGACCAGGTGGGATAATAGTTGTGTTGTTTTGAACAAAATATGTTGTTGTTCTTCAAATTAAACCCACGATTCTCGAGTTCATTGTAAGAACAGGCCAAAGCAAGTTTAGCATTGTCTATATTTTTGTTAGCTGCGATGAAAAAGACTATTATCGTGACGTTTTGATAGGACAGCCCGGACCCAGTCGCCGTTTGCAGACCTATCTCAATTTTTGGTTATTTTTTGCTCCTTTAAGAAGCTGGTGGCTAAGCTCCCAATACACCCGCCTCCCAACTTAATCAGCCCTTGGAGTTACCCAGCCATTAAAAAGCTGCAAACTACAAAAGCAATAAATTTGCGAGCATTTCTTCTTTTCGTGGTAGCATTCAAATTGTTCTTGTTCTATCTGCAAAGAATTTATTTGTCTTGGTTGAAGTAGTTGCACATGTGTAAACCAAAATTGAAATCACCAAAGCCACGCTGGCAACATGGGCCAGTTCCGCGGTAATTAATTCGGGAAAAATCCAGAGGCTCAAAGTTTACTAATTTATTGGCATTTTTAATTGATTTAACATTTTCATTAAAATCCTCATTTCATTCTTGGTTCTACTTCAAAAAACTTAACACTCATGAAATAACTTTTATAACTAAAACTGACGCCGTTATATGGCGAAAATTACCCTCAGCAACAGCTCAGAAACTGAGATCAGTTAAGGTTACAGTATACCTTCAGGGGTGTCTCGCGCGCAAGCCATGTAGCGCGTGCAGTTTAAGCTGTAGATAACTAAACCCCTATATCAAATTAAAGCTTAT